ACTACTACTACTACTACTACTACTACTACTACTACTACTATACTACTACTGCTGCTACTGCTACTGCCACTGCCACTGCCACTGCCACTACCACTACCACTACCACTACCACTACCACTACCCTACACCTACCACTACCCCCACTACCCCTATCATTACCCCTACTACCCCTACCACTACCTCGACTACTACTACCAACAACAACAACAACAACAACAACAACAGCAACAACAACAACAACAACAACAGTAAGATGCGACACTCACGACTTGAGCGTTCCGGACGTCATCAGTTCGGTGATAAGCACGATGTACTTGCGCTTCGTGTCGCGCGTCACCTCCCAGTAGTCGAAGAAGCGCACGATGTTGGGATGCTGAAGGTCCTTGAGCAGCTCAGCCTCCTCGCGGAAGCGCTGCCGCTCCCGCTTGTCCAGCTTACGCTCCTGCAACACACACGGAAAAATACGGAGAGGTTAGTGAAGATGCTAGTGTATGTTATGGATATAATATATATAATATATATATATATATATATATATATATAATACGTGCTGCGCTTTTGATCATTTTATGTAAAAAGACGCAATATAAATAAATGAAATAATAATAATAATAATAATAATAATAATAATAATATGCTGGGGATAGAGGAGATGGAAGGATAGACGGGGAGAGAGAGAACGGTGAGGTTAGAGGAAGCAATCGAAGTGATTAAAGGTGCTCTGGTATGCTGGGGACAGAGGAGAGGGAATGATAGACAGTGGCAAAACACTGACCCTCCGAGCCGGTGGTTTCAGCCGTGTTAGCGAGTACCGACATTTTTATTTATAGCATTATAATGAGCAAATAGCTTACATTACTGTTTTACCTGAAGGATATCACGCTATAAGTTATCAAAATTTTACAAATTTGAAATCAAGAATGCAAGCGTAAAACATGACATTGATTTTACAACAAAATTTGTGAGGGCCGTTAAATTATGGTGAAGACTGGTAAAAAAATTTCGTGCCCTGCTATAGTACGTTGTCCAACATACGCTCCTGCAACGGGGAAACGGAAAGGTTAGTCGAAGCGATCAAGAGCTATAGAGAGGTGATTGAAGGTGCTGCGAGGATGCTGGGGATAGAGGACAGGGAAGGATAGACGGGGTAGTCAAGATGGAAAGGTAAATGCTAGAACGAAAAGGGAAAAACGGAAGCGGAAAGCAACGAAAAGAGAAGAAGCGATCGAGTGCGATGTGAGACAGTAAAGACAGGACGGGAAGCATTGACAAATATATATATATATATATATATATATATATATATATATATATACACACACATATATATATATATATATAAATATATGATAGTATGAATCATTACAACGGGGCAACAGATCCACGGGGAAAGGTATATAGGATGGAGATCGATAAATCCTACCATAGATCATTAAGTATAGTTAATCCTCGCTACCCACACGCATGGCTGCTGTAACAACGCTGCTATTCAGCCGACGTGCGCGCCGACGTACACAATGAAATCGCGTCGGCAGCGAGCGACTGCAATTCAGAAATTTTCGATCGGAAACTTCGCGAAGCGGCGCGTTTTTATTGCCAGTGCGGGTTTTATGCGGGCGGGTGGACAGCCCGCCCACCCGACCGCCCACTTCCATCAACATCATTGCATCGCTGACACATTTCATTCCCACACCGATTTCATTCCAGGAACCTCAAGAACCTCCTGCTAAATTTAAAGCACCGCTAACTTTTTTACTGTCTGAAGCCGACCCACTGTGCTCCACCCTAGCGCGCTCATTCTAACACCTAAGCACAATCCATGTGGCAGACGGACCCACCTGCTTCTACAGACGGATAAATACCTGTGACCACCCCCACGGCAGCCTGACCACCTCCCCGCCCACCGCACTCCACGCTCTGCAAAAATTTTTCCGTCTCGTCCAGTCCTCGTCATCATCAGTACCACCCCCACCAGCAGTAGCAGCAGTAGTAGCAGCAGTAGTAGCATCAGCAGTAGCAGCAGCGGCAGCAGCAGCAGCAGTAGCAGCAGCAGCAGTAGCAGCAGCAGCAGCAGCAG